CCTGGCGGCCCAAACTCCGGCCAAGTTGCACCGCGCCCACTGCAGGCCCTTCCTACCAACGCCGCGGGGCGGGCCGGTTCAGCTCCCGCAGTTCTTCTCGTGCCGCCGCTGCAGCTTCGCGACGCCCTTCAGTTCCCGCAGCTCCTCCAGACTGGCGGTGCGCGGCTCTGCGGGGAACCGGGTGAGGCGTCCCGCCGCCCGGGAGCCCCCGCCTTTCCCACGAGACCCGAACGTCCCTCAAGACCACTCAGCAGGCCTCACCCACAGCTTCTCTCCGGCCCCTCGCTGCCCCCGGCCCGGGCCCAGCTGCTACAGGAGCCACAGGACGGGCTGACAGGTGTCCTGGGGTCCCCGGCTCAGCTCTGCTCCTCCCCGCCCCCTGGGGGTGCCAGCGTGGCCCCCCGCGGTGCACTTTCTCAGCGCTGAGGCCTCAGACACCGCGTTCCCTTCCTTGGTGAAAGTCTTAGTTTTGTACAGATCTGCCGCCCCGCTGGGAGGCGCCTGCAGATGCAGCCAGAGAGGGCAGGACCCCTCCCCGCAGGTGGGAGCACCCCCGCAGTGCATACCTGCTGACCCATTGCTGGTCGAGGCGGGTGCCCCGTTCACCTGGCTGGCAAGTGGGCTCCCGGGGGAGAAGGGCTTCTGTGGAGGGAGAGCAGGTTAGGAAGACGGCTCCAACAGCCCTCTCCCCCCAGCCCTGGACTCCGCGCCTCCCTCCCCTTCCCGCAGAGGGCAAAGCTGCTGGGGGCCCCCGGCCACGGACCCAGCCACACAGACCTCAGGCAGACCGCCCATGGCTTCCTTGAGCTTCACAGACTTCTTATCATGGGCATTGAAGAACTTGATGGGATTGGCGAGGGCCACAGTGAGATCTGGGTGCACAGGGGCGTCACAGGCCTGGTATGGAGAGTACCCGGAAGCCCCCCAACCCTCACCTACCCCAGGATACCCTGTCCTGCCCCCCTCTGGAGGCTGCCTTGAGGAAGGGCGAGCGGAAATGGACAGCCCCAGGCTCCCGGCACTCCGTGGGCCGCCTAACCTGCCCAGGTGTCAGGTACATAGTCTTTCATCTCCAGGAGGACGAAGAGCGCAGGCATGGTGAGGGGCATGTTGCTCTCACTGCGCAGGCACAGATGGTGGTATCCTGCGGGCGTGACAGAGGGGCCGTGAGCAGAGCCCATTGCCGCCCAGCACTGTACGCCAGCAGCCCAGCACTCAAGGCTTCTGGTTGCAGAGTCAGAGAGGCCAGGGTCCAAGTCCTGGCTGTGTGACCTTGGGAAGGTTGCTTTAAATCTCTGAGCCTCTCCTGTCCGTGAAATAAGGATAACGGTATCTACCTCATGAGGTTAGCAGGATTACGTGAGAATATAAGCCCTGAAAGCATTTTAAGTGCCCAATAGATGTCAGCTACTTGGGAGATGGCCCCAGTGGTTTCAGAAAACGACAGACATTCTGTTAGATGGCCGGAGCCCCGCCTCTGTCCGTCTCCTGCAGAGGTGCTGCTCCTGCTGCACTCCTGAGGGCTGATGGCGTGAAGGGCTTAGGTAAAGTTCAGGGCCACCTCCCTGAAGCTGCCCACCCTCTGGACGGACTCCTGCTGCTGGCCTTGGTCTCAGACCTGCAGGGGACAGTGAAGAAGGGCCCCTACCCTTACCAGTGTTCAGGGCATTGATGGGGATGATGCGGTGTCCGAGAAACTTGCTGCCTTCCTCCATCACAGCCACCCTGAGGGAGGCCAGCTCAGGCATCAAGATCTGGGGAGAGTTCGGGACAGGACACGCTGGGGAGGAGAGGGTGGCCAAGTCGACCCCCTCCCTAGTTTGAGAAGTCCAGGGCCAGTGTGAACATAGCAGGTGTGACCAGATTTGGTGAGGACAGAGGGCACACTCTAGGCCACACACATAGACATCCTCACGGCTCATGTCCTGGCCGGTCCACTCAGGGGAGTAGGGCTGGACATGCAGCCATGGCTCTGGGGGTCCTGGTGCAGACAACTGTGGCAGCTTTATCACAAGTATCCAGTGGGGCAAAAGGCCCCCTTGTGACCCCATGGGACCTTGCACCCTGGTCTGGGCGTTCATATTTCTGCCTCTGATCCTAACATAAACACACACACAGGCACACACATATACATGTACACATGTGCACAACCACACACAACCTGCGCACCAAGTATATTTCTGTAAACTTGGTTTTTTGGACTCTTGAAATTCAGGAGGGCACAAAGTGAGGGGTGGGGAGAGGAGGAGGATCAAGGAACTCCCTCTAGGTATTTTCTCTTTTTTATAAGTAGAGGCCAAGAATTAGGGACAGCCCTTACCCTGCCCAGACCCCAGCCCCTGCCCTGCCCTAGCCCTCCACCTTCTCAAATACAAAGGGCTCCTCATTCCAGACGGGATTGATGGAGTTGGCAGTGGGGGACAGCTTGGTGCGATAGCGCCTCTTGGGGTCCCCAGGAAGGCCAAACAGCTCCACTTCCACATAGGTGCGCACACTGCGTTCTGACAGGAACTGCCCCGAGATTACCTGGAGGTGGGAGACCAGCATCAGCTCCCCCACCCAGCCATTCCCCAGCACCTGGGCCTCTGGCTTCTCTGGCTGAAGCATCCATTCTTGGGAACCGTGAAGAGCGCCACTCAGCTCTGGCCACGGACCAGAGACTGTGTGGCTCAAGGTTACAGCTAAGCTCTGGTGACGAGGGTGTTTCCAGCATTCAGGAAGGGGTGTGGGCCTCCCCACCTCCCCTCCCAGGCAAAGAAGGAATAGGGCTCTCTCCCAGGGCCTGGGCTCCTACAACCCCACTTTGCCCACTCTTCTCCCCTCCCCCATCCCAGCCTCAGTCCTTCCCCTTGGTTTCCATGGGGACCAAGAGGCAGCCTCCAGGGCTGAGGAGGAGGCAGTTTCCAAGGCAACTTGCTACTGCAGGAGCTGGCTGGGGCTGAAGTTTGCAGGATATCAGAGAGGGGGTTGGGCGTGGAGGAGTGGGGCTCCTGTGTCTTTCTCCTCAAGACGCCAGCCCTCCCGGCCACTTGTCCACCTCAGGGCCTTGCCTTAATGGAAAGGGTGGTGGCTACCACCACGTCGATGCCATCCACCGAGAATGGGTTGAACTGCTTGTCTGGCCGACGCATGAACTCATGCTTGAGGAGGTAGCCGCTCTGCCCATTGAACTCAAATAGCGCCATGTTCTGCTGCATGGGCAGATCTGGGGGGACAGGGTACTTGTGAGGAAGGTCCATGTTCCCAGCCTTCCTCCCGGCTTGTGAACAGGGAGGTTGAACGACCACGGCATGAGGGTTTCTTAGGGTGTCTCTTCCCTCAGGAAGGGCCCACAGCCTGGAATCAGCAGGACCAAAGCCACAGCCAGGCCTCGGGCTCACAGTGGGAGTGGAGGCCAGTGGAGCAGGTGTTCCCACAGACCCACTCAGAGAGCAGCCAGCACCCATGCCGGCTCCTGGCATCTTCGCATACACACTCATACATACGTGCAGTCATATAGGCATGAGCTAACGCATTTCTACCCCGGAACACGCACACAAGGGACCAGGGATCCACAGGAGCTGCCCAGAGGTTACCTGGAGGAACGGGGTGAAGGTGGGAAGGGCAAGGGAAGGGGCTTAAGGGCCTGAGAGTGCCTCACCCATTGTCTGGAAGTTGAGGGCAACCATCTGGCAGCCAGCATTCCAGAACATCTGGGGCATGTAATTGGAGGAGTCCATGCGGGTGCCCTTGGGGTAAATGCGGCTCATCTGGCGCTTGTTGTAGCTGCTCCAGAGTATAGGAGGCCAGCCTGAGGCTGCACCCGGAGTACCCAACAGCCCCCCCCTTGGATCCCTTCCCCCTCCCTCCTCCCAACCAGGACCCTGGCTCCTGAGGCCTCAAGGATACTCCACAAACTGCACTGCGGCCTTGGAGAGCAAGTCATAAGCCTTGAGCTCCGTGAAGGAGGAGATGACATAACTTCGGTTCTTCTCTGTGGCGGAGTAAGAAGAGGGAGGGTCTATGTCAGGCTGAGGTACTCCCTCCGACCCCCCCCCCCCCGCCCCTTCGGTGCAGCTGCCTCCAGCACAGAGATGCATCTAACCCAGCGTGTCCACTGAGGCTTGAGGGTTCGGGGGTTGGGGGGGGGTGAACCCGAGGGGCAGGGGGATGTGCAGATCTGTGTCAGTAACTGTGTGCTGGGAGTAAAGGGCATGCGCGGTGGGTGTGCACAGGGATGGGGGTGTCACAGTCCTGGAGGGTGAGGGGTGCATGCCTGGGTGGGTGCAGAGGATGTGGGGAACAGGAGAGGAGGAGCCCAGAGAGACAGGAACATGCTGTGATGTGCAGGGACTACACACAAAGGGTGCGTGCGGCGGTGAGAAGTACACACCAAGGGTGGTACCCGCCATCGGGCACAGGTAGGGGTGCAGGCTGTGGGTTCAGGGGTGAGGAAACAAGGTTACAGAGGTATACACTTCGCACAAGTGTACACAGAAAGAGGTGATCATGTTGGGGACACGCACAGAGGCGGAGAGGAAGGCACCGTGTGTGTCCGGAGAAGATAAATAACGGTGTGCACAAAAAGGGAAGGCTGCAAGGAGTAGGGTGCACTGGCTGGCTGCTCTGCCTTCCATCCCTCCCTCCCCCGGAGTTCTTATGCCCTGGGGATGGGCTTCTGGGCTGAGGGGCCACAGAACCTGCAGGAAGCCGCAGGAGCCCCAGGCCAGCCCCGCTGAGGTGGCCTGTCATAAGCGGCCGGCCTGCCACTGACATACTCCAGAGCATTCTGCTCGGTGCCAGACCCCCGGAACTGTGCTGGGAAATGGAGCCACTGCCACTTAAGCCCTGGCCTGACTCTGATGCGTATTTATAGACAGGGCCCCGGGCCAAGGAAGGGGAGGACCCCTTCCTCTTACCCCCGCCCATCAAAGTGCCTGGTGTCAGACACACTTCCTGAGGGCCTCCTGAATCTAGCCGAGCCTCCAGCTTACCACCACCCCGTGCGAACTTACGGGCAGAGAACTCAAAGGAGGTGAACTTGGTGGGCTGGATGTAGTTGACTAGGCTGGACATCTCCTCGTAAGCTGTCGCCTCCAGGCCCGCTGTGCCCTAGGGAAGCGAGACGAGAGTGGAGAGTAGGAGCCCAGAGCCCAGGGACATGGCCCCATGTCCCCCCCGGAGGACTCGGGCCTCCGGGCTGTCTCCACACACCTCATCCGACTGCATCTTCTTCATCTCTTCTTCATCCAGGTTTCCCGACTCCTCCTCCTCTTCTTCTCCCACGTCCTCCTCCTCCTCCTCCTCCTCCTCCTCTGGCTCAGCCCTTTCCTCACCAGCCAACACTGCCACACACAACTCCATCAGCTCTGGGGCGGGGGGGGGGGGGGAACCCCCACACCAGGCTGGCTCTCCAGCACATCTCCTCCAGGCCCAGCCCCTCTCTCCCCTTCCAGATCCTCCCTCACACCCACCCCTACCCCCACTCCTCCGGGGCTGACTCACCTGTGTCCCCACCCACAGGGGCACTGGGTGGGCAGCTGCCCTCAGCCTCCCCACTGGGGGATGCTGGGACTGAAAACTGGTTCTTCTTGTTCTTAATGAGGATCTTGCCACGGAGATCCTCAGGGCTGGGCAGGGGGCTGCCTGGTTTCAGCTGTGGGAGAGGAGAGTGTCAGCAGCCTCGGTTCCTTCATACGGAGCACTCACTGCTCCACTGCCCTGCCCACTGCTCAGCCTGGCCTCTCACCACCGCCCGGTGCCAAACCGCTGCCTGGCCCGACTTTCTCCCGTTCCTCAGACAGGTTCTCTCTCGCCTGTTCTGTCTGCTAGCACTCCTTTCCCCACTCTCACCAACACAAACACAGCATCACTCTTAGGTTTCAGCTTAGCCATCACTTTCCCCAGGAGGCCTTCCCCGATCCCCAGACCAGTTCAGGATTCCCCGAGCAGCCATTGGTTGGCATGGCCAGGTTCCTTGTCTTTCTCCCCACCAGATGGTAAGCAGTGTGAGGGCTGGGACTGCGCCTTTGCCACTAGCATACCCCCCAAGCCCCGCACAGTGCCCGACACGGGGTTAACCTGGCCCCACCGTGGCCCCGGTCCCAGGTGTCCCACAGAGAAGTCCACTCGCCGGAAACTTTTCCAGGGGCTCGGTGAGCAGCATGTCACCAAACATCGCCCGGCAGTACTCAGCCATCTTGGCCTGTTGGCGGGGCCTGAGGGAGCAGAAGCGGGGAGGGTTCAGCAGCACCACCCTCCTCCTGGCCATCCTCCCGCCCCCCATCTGGTCATCAGGGGCCCAAGAGGTGGGGGAGGCAGGGACACAGGCAGGAGGGCCTGGGTCTCGAGGAAATTGTGCGGAGGGCATGGGTAGAGGCCGGGATAGTTGGGGGAGGGCAGCACGGGCGGAAGGTGGGGACAGATAGAGAATGAGGCTGAATGGGCCTGGGTACTCACGAGTCCACGTGGTTTTCAAATGACAGTATAACAGGATAGGGGGAGGTCTTAAAGGCACTTTCTGCAATCGCTTCAATTGCTTCCTGAAAGAGAGAGGACTCCTAGGAGCGAGGTCCGCGCTCCAGGCTTCCCCTCCCCCAGCGGCACCCTTCCCCTCTCCCTAGTTTTCACACACACCGGAAAGTAGAACCGGAGGGCCACCTTTGGCCCCCTGCCTCCTCTGATCTCCTCTAGCCCCCATGCTGGTCTGAGGCCCCCAGCCATTCCTCCTGCTTCAGGTCCCCACACCCAGAAAGCTTGGGGACCGGGGCCCTTCCCTAGTGCCTTTACCACCAGCCTCCTCACTCGGAGTCTCACCTTGAAGTAGATGTCTGTGGTCATGGTGAAGCCATGGGTGATAATGGGCTCCTCATCGGGGAGCTTCCCCTTCCAGCAGTCCAGCTCCACACAGCGGCAGCCCGCCAGCAGTACCTGGCGGTACATCTCCGCAGAGGAGAGGCCCGAGAACTGGCCGGCTGAGGCAGAGCAAGCGGGGGCAGGGGCTTCACTCAGGGGCTCTCCCCACCCCACTCGGGCATGGTCTGTACTGTTGGCAGCCCAGGGGCAACCCCACGAGGAGTTCAGGGAACAGGAGCAGCCCCCATAGAAGGAGAAGTCAGTAGTGAGGAGGCTAGGGCCCACCTGTCAGGTAGGTGTTGTGCGAGGAGTTGATAAAGTAATGATTGAGTGGCTGGGTCATGTCCTGGTGAACCAGCAGCTTGTCCTGCACCAGCACGCTGTTCTCGGGCCCACAGAGAAACCACACCATGCCCTGGGGTGACAGCTGGCCTGGGGGGGGGGCGGGGCACAGAGGATAACTATCAGGGCCACAGCCCAGGGGTCAGAGCAGGACAAGCCCACAGGGGTGAGGGCTTCCATCGGTCCTCACCCCTCTGCACGTTGATGCCACTGGGCTCATACTTGTCGATGAGGCCCTGCACCTGGTCAGGCCGCGCTGGCGGGAACAGTAATGTGTTGAGGCGAGGGTCCCTCTGTTTCTGGTTGATGAATTTGGTCAAGTGCTCCTTGGTCATGTAGGGTTTGGCCTTGGCATGGCTGCAGGCCAAAGGGAAGAGCACAGGTCTCCATCCTCTAGGCTGGGAGCTCAGGCAGGCCCTTTGTCCAGCAAAGCCCCCTAATGGTCAGCATAGCAGGTAGGAATTTTAGCCACACCCTTTCCCCATGCCCAGCCCAATCCAAGAAGCTCACTGGGAAGTGAAGATCTCGTCGATTTCCGGCCGAGGGCAGAGGTTCATGAGGAAACTCTTGTAGACAGATTGTGGGAAGTCCTCAGGATTGATGGAGTCATTCTGGGGAGACAGAGGCACCTGATCACTTCTGCCCCACCTTCTCAGCAGGAAGGACCACAGACTAGGCCCGGCCCTGCCCTAGGGGCCCGATCCAAAGGAGGGCTCAGGCAGACACAGGGGCATTAAGGACATGCTGAGCCCCACTTTTCTTTTTTCTTTTCTCACGTTAAATTCTTTAGGGGTAAAAGTAAAAAGGGAACTCTCGAAAGTACACTCATTGACCTCTCCCCGCCTCCTCCACCGCCCCCCCGCCCTGTCTATGTCCATTGGTTATGCTTATATGCATGCATACAAGTCCTTTGATTGATCTCTTACACCCCCCACCCCCGCCTTCCCTCATAGGTTGGACAGTCTGTTTGATGCTTCTATGACTCTGGTTCTATTTTTGTTCATCAGTTTATGTTGTTCATTCTATTCCACAAATGAGTGAGATCATGGGATATTTATCTTTCTCTGACTGGCTTATTTCGCTTAACATAATGCTCTCCAGTTCCATCCATGCTGTTGCACATGGTAAGAACTCTTTCTTTTTTTACAGTAGCATAGTATTCCAGTGTGTAGATGGAGAGCCGGGGAGAGAATACAGGGTGGGGCAAAAGTAGGTTTACAGTTGTGAGTACACTAAGGCTTATTCTTATATTCTTACTTATTAATTATTTGATTGCTTTCCATAAGAACAACTGTGACCTACTTTTGCCCCACCCTGTATTTGCAAATCAGATATCCACAAAGCAACAGCTCAGCGGTAAAAAGACAAATAACCTAATTGAAAGATGGGCAACAGATTTAAATAGATAATTCTCCAAAGAAGATATTCAAACAACTAATAAACACATGGAAAGATGCGCAATACCATTAGTCAGGGAAATGCAAATCAAAACCACAATGAGATATCATTTCACTCCTACTAGGATGACTAAAATTAAAGAAAAAAAAGATACATGTTGGTGAGGATGTGGAGAAATTGGAACCCTCATGCAATGCTGGTGGGACTGTAAAATGGTGTGATCACTTGGAAAACAGTTGGCAGTTCCTCAAAATGTTAAGTATAGTTACCATATGATCTAATAATTCTACTGCTAGGTGTATATATATATATACCCAAGAGAATTGCAAACATATGTCCAGACAAGCATGTGTACATGAGTGTTCATAGCAACTTTATTCATAACAGCCAAAAAGTGGAAACTATTCAAATGTTCATCAATTGATGCATAGATAAGCAAAATGTGATATATCCACACAATGGACTGCTACTCGGCCATAGAGAGGAATGAAGTATTGATACATGCCACAACATGGATGAACCTTGGAAACATGCTAAGTGAATAAAGCCTGACATCAAAGATCACATCTTGTATGATTCCATTTACACGAAATGTCCAAAAATAGGCAAATCTATAGAACTAGAAACAGAAAGTAGACTAGCGCCAGCCAGGGATTCTGTGCCTTTGCATCCCCTCCCAGAAACACCCATCCTCTGTCCTCCAGGGTCACACTGGAAGGCCAACATGAGTTTGGAGCAGGAGAGCGAGAACAGATTTCCCGAAGATTGGCTCTTGGACCCATCAGCTTCAAGCAAAGATGGGCCAGTGGCCCCTACTGGGACTCAGCAGAGCTCACAAATCAGGACTTAGCCAAGGTGGGAGCTCAGGGGGCAGGAAGAAAGGAGAGTGGTTGTGTACTGACCGCAGTATGCCGTGCTGGCTGTAGGGCCCTCAGCGGGAGCCCATTCTCCCCTCTCTCTCCCACCCCAAGCTGGCATCCCCTGGGGCTGACTGCACCCAGGGGTCACCAGCCCCATAAAGCTGTGACTGTGGGGGAAGTATCCTCTTGAGACTCCTGGGGACAAGTGATCAGTGAGGTCTTAGTTTAATTACAATGTTCCAAATTCTTAGCAGGAGAAAAGACTCCATGGGGTGCAAGTGGTGCCCTGTGCAAAGGCGTGGCCAAGGCGGGAGAGGGGGCTGAGACCCACTCTGTCAGCCAGGCACGAACCCTGGCTCAGCCCTGCATCTGCCCATAATACACCTTATGGGTGTATTACATAATACACCTGCATACAAGTTGTAATTAAAAATTACTTAACTAAAAAGAAAGGGAAAACATTTTTCTGTGTTGAGCTAAAGTCTGTGTCCTGGCAGCTTGCACCCTGGATTCTGTGCCTCTCCCACACCCTGCAGAACTGGTCCCTGCCTGCTGCACCTTTCAGATCCCTGCAGACCGCCTCCTGTCCCTGCTGACCTCCTCTGGCTCCTCCAGCTGCAAACATTCACTCCAGTCCCACCCCACCCCCTGCCCCACTGCCACCCAGGGGGAGGAGACCAACCTGGCTCGACCTTGGAGGATTCCCCCCCCCCCGTGGTGTCATCATCAACCATAAATAAAGGAGGATCGGTATCAATATTTTTCGGGACTCAGAGATACGTACCCATGTGGTAGACCTGTGAAGGAATTCGGTTGTAGTTTTTTAAGGAGAGAAGAAAAAATAAGAGAAATGAAAAGAATGA